CTTTTTTTTTTTTTTTTTTTTTTTTTTGTCTTTTGTCTTTTTCCGTGTCTGGCAATGGATCGCAACCCTCAGTGTTGCCCCCGTACTGGACCGGGGACCGGCAACGGGATCGCAACCCTCGGCGTTGCTCCCGCACCTCGCTCAGCCAGTGAGCGGGAACCGGTCCGTATGTGGGATCCGAACCCTCGGGCGGGAGCGCCGCCGCGCTTCCCAAGCGGCGCACTATCCAGTGCGCCACCGGGCCGGCCCACCTGTTTCCTTTTCTGTAACGTGAGGATAATAATGGCACCTATCTCAGAGTAATGTTGTGAGGATTAAACAAGTTGATTCATGTAAAGTGGTTAGAATGGTGCCTCGTACATAGTGAGTGCTCAATAAATGTTAGGTATTGCTGTCACCGTGTTGTTTTGTGATCACCCACTGTCACCACTACTGTCACAACCTCACACATGGGGCCAGTGAGTGTCAGTTTCTCCCTTTTCACCCATCATGGTAACTGGAGTGAGACATTAAGAAATACAAAATACTGGAATAGAAATGTTAAATTATTTCACCTAAAGAGAAAAAAATGTGTTTCCTGATGTAAAGCAAGTTCTGTAGCCTTTCTGAGCCTCAGAATATTTGTAAAACTGGGCTGATAGTATCTGCCTCCTATGACACAGTGAAGGTGAATACAGGAAATGGAGCTACTGGAACTATATAGTAAACCTCAACAAAGGTTGGTGCCAGTAATATTAGCAATATTTTACTAGTATGCTGTTCATATGTTTATCTGAACCACCAGAGGTTAATTGTCATTCTCTGGACCACATGCCATGGTGGGGGTCAGGACTGAGGGTGGAAACTATATGGGTCTCCCTTTCTTCCAGAAACATCTCTCTAGATTTGGAGATCTCTTTAAAAGCCCTTGGGGTGTCATGCCCAGGATTCTAAAGCCAAAGGTCTAGGGTGGGGCCTAAAAGGCTCCAGATGATGCTGACTGGCTGTGTCTGGGGAACCACTGGGCTGAATGACTGTCCATGGTCACCCATGTTTTCTGTTTAGTGCTACCCCATCTACTCGCTTTAGCTTTCATTCTAGCACCCCCACACCCCTCCGTTCATCCTTCAGTCACCCCCTGCTATAAGTCTAACTGCTCTCTGCTAGGCTAGGCTGGGAGGAACACAAAGGAATAAGAAACTGGGTCCCTCCCATGAATTCTACGTTCAATTCTAGGCTAAGGTGCTGTGTGACCTTGGACAAGTTGCTTTCCCTCTCTGTACAGTGAGGAGGGTGGCTGTGTTCTTAAGCTCCCTCTGGTGATGCTAGAGTGTGGTTTTCTCCCCTTCTGGGGATGGCACACACTCCGGCTGGAAATTCTCTCCTGAGCAGAGGTAGGGTCATCCTCTCCTTCACCCCTTTCTAGTCCTTCCTTATGCTACTTCTGGCTCAAGGAGGCTTGTCATCTTTGTGTGAACCATTTCTGTGGTATTTTTAACTTCTTGATGGAAAAATGATGAACTGACAAGGAAATATTTTGAAATCCAGAACATTCCACTCATTGACTTTCATGGTTCAGTGCCTTGTCCCTTGGGCCCACATTTGCCACCGAGCCTGGCCTTGTGTCGGGGCTCTCACTGTGATACTTGGCCTCCCTCTGCCTCAGGGATTTCTGCAGAAATACTGTTCCCATGGAGGGGAAGGGGCCTTGTGAGGTTGCCAGGTCCATATCCCTTTTCCTGCAAGGTGTACTAAACCCATCCAGGTAGATGAGAATTTGTTGTTATGTTGTATATTTTTTATTGCAAGAAGGTGCATAGAAGGAAATTAAAATGTTAATACTGCTTATATATGGTGATGTGTATCCATCCTTTTTTTCTTCCTGTGTGTGAATATATATTATGATATATAATGTAATATAAAATAAATAATGACATATATATGTTTCTTTAGACACTTGGGATCAAACTATATGGATCTTGTGTTACATATTTCATACAACTTTATGTAATATCTTCAACATTTTTCTAAAAATTTTGTGTTGTTCATTTGTTTTTGGTGGCTGGCTGGTGTGGGGATCCGAACCCCTAACCTTGGTGCTGTAACATTATACTCTAACCAACCAAGCTTTTTTTACCTAACATATTTTAAAAGGCTATTTCATTATATGGCTATATCATAATTTATATAGCTAGTCCCTTATGGTTGGATATTTGGTTATTTCTAGCATCATGCTCTTTAAACAACACCGTGATTAACTTTCTGCTTCTGGAGCCCATCAGGGACTCCAGGGTCCTTGAATGACTAATCACGATGCTTCCTTCTGTCTGCAGAATCCAGGAGTCCTCAAGCTGAGATGGTGTCCCCCTCCACGCAGGTGAGCTCATGTTCTTGTAAAAGGGTCCTAGTGGTTAGGAGTGTGGGCTGGCACCAGATAGAATTTGGTTCAAATCCCAGATCTGCCACTTACTAGAAATGAGGTGGTAGGTGTGTAACCTGTCCTTTCCAAGCCTCTGTAAAAAGGGGAAATAGCAGTTCCCTTGTCCCAGGGCTGTAGAGTGTGCAGCAGTGCTGGCCTGGTGCACAAAACTGCCCTGCGTCTAGTGGCTGTTTCATCTCTGAGCTTTTTGGACATCACTAATGACTTAGCTTAAAGCTCACATTCAGCTCATCTGAGTCCCTCCCCTGCGGACTCCTGGTGTCACAATTTGCCAGAAAGAGGATTACCTCTGAAGCTGCTTAACGACTTCCTTGAGTAATCCAATTTCCCATCCAGCTGTATCTCCTCCTGTGGTCCTTAAGTCCCTAAACGCTAAGCTGGGAGGCTGAGCCACTCCTGGAGCTGGGCAGCACAGGGAAGGAGCCCAGAGTTTCTGAACCTTATCCAGATTCAGTGCAGGACTGTCCAGGCACCAGCAGGAGCATATCTACAGGTGGAGCCCATGCGTGGGGCCAGAGAGCTCCTAGCACAGGTTCTAGGGGAACTGACACTGATTCACACTGATTGCCCATGCCCCGCCAGACTCCGAGCCTTGCCTTTGCTAGCTCATTTGATCCTCATTTAACCCTATAAGGGAGCAGGACTGAGGCCCAAATGGGTTGAGAAATCTGCCCCATATCACATAGCTAGTAAGGGGCAGAGCCAGGAGTCCAGTCCATGCTTTTCCCAGTGAGCAGTGGTATTTGTGCCCTGGCACTGGACCCATAAGTACAACTGTGGCTTCAGCATATCAACTGAGTATCTCTTCTGTGCAAGGTGCTGTGCTCTTGAGCTTTTGGTGGAGAGGCAGATGGAAAGAAATTTCCACCTTGAGCTGACAAGGTGTGGATACAAATGCACAAGTAATAGTGAAAAAGTTGAGGGTGACGAAGGTCAGATACCAGGAGGTTCATGATATAGAGAAAGGAATGCTTTGGGTGGATCAGGGAGGGCTTTGAGGAGGAGGTGATGGTCTGAATGATGGTAGGATCCACAGAAAGGGTCTTATGGTGAGAAATGTCTCTTTTAGGCACCTACTACTGTTGATGATGATGATGATGATGATGATGATATGGATAATATTCTCCCCAGAGATTCTGCAAATACAACAAGCCTCAAAGGTAAGGACTGGATATTTTTGTATCCCTATGGTCTGAGGGGCACAAGACATGTCTCTGCAGAAAGTCCTTTCTTATTTTGACTGGTTGGCAGAGTTCCAGTGCCAGAATATTCTTTTATTACTTTGCGTTGAAATTTGAGATTGCTAGCTAAGATACAGTGACGGGGCCATAAGAAGAGCAGAACAAATCAGTGAAATATTTCACACTTGGCTCACAGTACAAACGAATGTGCTGCAAACAAAATTATTGGAGTCTGAAATGGAATACCTGTTGAAGGAAGTATTTGTTTTGGGAGCCCTTGATTTCAGTGCTTCTGATTTTCTATTCCTGTGAGATCAGGAAAACTTACCAACATTTGAATCAAGAAAGATCACAAAGATCACAGGTCCTGTGTTTGTTTTACTAGATGGATGTATGGGACGCATAGAGTCCAGACTCCAGAGGCTCAGCAGTTGAACAGCTCCATCTGATGGCTCTTGGGCTTTCTGAGGAAATCCTTGGCCTCCTTACCCTTACCTGTGTAGATTCCTTCCTGCCCCTGCTGCTGGGTGCCCAGGCTGTGCCATCCCAGGGGCAAAACCCTACCATGGTGCAGAGCCCCTGTGGAGGACCTGCTAAATACCTGGGGCTGAGCTCTTCACAGCTGGGGACTCAGAGGGAATTAAATCTATCTTTGCTCTCAAGGACTCTACAGTACACTGGGAGGCCCTGACAAAGAGAAATTCGTGACTTTAACAAAGACCAAAGTGTGAGACAGGCCAAAAGGAAGGCATAGATAAAGCAGAATGGAATCGAGAGAATTGAGAGAGTGTGTCCAGCAGCGAGAATCACAGGAAACTCGTTGAAATTGGCCTTAAATGGCATGGGAAGATGGCAGGAGGCCAGGCGTTCAAGAGCTGCTACAGAGGGACCCTTGAGTCTTCTCCATCCCCCCTCACCAATGGGCTCATCCAGCTCCATGTCTTTAAAGACCATGTATGGGCTGATGACTCCCAAATTTATATCCCCATCCTGACCTTGCCACTAACACTCGTGTATCCAACTGTCTAGTTGACATATCCACTTGCACACCTACTAGAAATCTCAAACTTAACATATCTAAAGGAGAAACGCTTGATACCTCCCCACCTCTCCAACCCAAAACTGTTTTTCTCCATCTTCCCCATCTCGGCGACCAGCACCACATTTGCTGGGCTGCTCAGGTGTGGGGCATCAGGCACACTTCTTCTCCTGCCTCTCATCCTCTGGCCAAGCCCTCAGCACGTCCCGTCAGTTGTACCTTGAGACATGCCCAGAAACTGGAGAGCTTTAGGAGCTGCCAATTGGTCTACCAGCTTCCAGTCTTACACCTCAACAGACTCTTTTCCAACCAGCACCCAGAGTGATCCTTAAAACACAAATCCAAGCTCTCCCTTGCTCAACACTGTGTCCCCCAGAGGAAAAGCCAGAGTCCTCACAAAGTCCCTAGGCTCTGTGGGGAGTCCTAACAAAGTCGTCTAGTCCCCTACTGGTAGACCTCTCCTCCTCCATCCCCGCTCCACTCACGCTGCTCCAGCCGCACCGCCATCCTTGCTCTTCCACACAAGCTCTACTCCAGGGCCTTGGCACCTCCTTGCTCTGCCTGGAGGGTCTTCCTCTGACTCTATTTGCCCACTCTTTCCTACCACCCAGGTCTCTGCTCAAATGCCTCTTTCTCAGGGAGCCCTTTCCTGATCACTGCATCTGACAATGCCGCCCCTGCACTGTCACTCTCTCCCTTTCCTATACTTTACTTTTCAACATTGCCCCATCACTGCTAACATCACACAACATATTTGTTTGTTTGTCTCTCTTGATTAGAATGTAGGATCCAGGGGTGGTGGGGGGGGAGGAACATTTCTGTCATACTTTTCCCTGTATTTCTGAAGCTTAGAACAAAGGCTGGCACAGGATAGGCATCAATAAATATTTGTTGAATGAAGGAAGGAACAAATATAAAAAATGGTGACATATTAATAAGTGAGCAAGTCAAGCCTACTGCTTTCATTACATGGCTGTTTCTGCCAAGAGACATGCGACATCCTCAGAGAGACCTGTCTTTGCAGTCAGTGCCCACTCACCAGCCTGGACTCACTGCAATGCCTGCCTCCAGTGGGCATCTAAAGCAATGACTAGCAGCGGCCTCTTCTTTTTTTTTTTTTTTTAAAGATGACCGGTAAGGGGATCTTAACCCTTGACTTGGTGTTGTCAGCACCACGCTCAGCCAGTGAGCTAACCGGCCATCCCTATATGGGATCCGAACCCGGGGCCTTGGTGCCATCAACACCACACTCTCCCGAGTGAGCCACGGGCCAGCCCAGCGGCCTCTTCAACAATGGATACCATTTAGGGTAGAAGAGCTTGAATCCTGGGTCCACGCAGCTGCGACTATCTGCATTTGCAGCAGAGGGAGAGAATGAAGGTTTTGCTTAGATGTACCTCTGTCCTGTCCAGGGTCTCTGGCAGTGGTAGGAAGGACCTTTCTGTGGGAAGACATGGCTACTTGTGAAGCTAGTTTGTTCTTTCATTCATTCGATGAAATATTTTGGAGAGCCTACTTTATGCTAGGCACAGTGTCAGCAGCTGGGAGTATATGAGAGAAAAAGACACGTGCAGTCCCCACTTTCAGGGAGCTCAGTCTAGAGGTGGAAGTGGAGAAATAACTGGGAGGGCACTTACTCAGCTTGCAGGAGGGTCAGTTCTCAAAGGAAGTGACATCACCTCATCTGAGAGCTGAAGGCTGAGTAGGGACTGGACAGCAAAGGGGAGCAGCAGAGGTGGGAAGAGCTTTCCAGGAAAGAAGAGGGAGCACGTGTGGAGGGCCCTGGAGCACAGGGAACACAGCACGTTGGAGAACTGAATGAAGGTCATGTGGCGGGGCTGGAGTGCCAAGTTGGGGGACAGGCAAGAGATGATGCCCCGATGGAGAAAAGTACTTCCAAATACTCAATTTAAAGCACCCGAGCCTCCTTGGCATCATCCACACTGGAGCTGCCATCAAAAGGAGGTCCTCAAAGCCTTCTGTTTCTTGTACCCTCTCTGTGTCTTATGGTGGCAGGCTGAATGTCACCAGAAAAGCGACTCTGAAAGTAAGTGGGAATCTGTGGCTGGCGGCAGGAGCCCAGAAACTCTGACCTTGAGGTGTATCTCCTGCCAAGTGGTGGGATCCTGGGGTCTGTTGGGTTATGCTCGGGCCAGATTTGACTTTGGCCAGAAAACTGGCAGTCCCGTCAAGTGGCAGAGCTGCTTCCTCTTCCAGGGGTAAGGTTGCTTTGAGGAATTTGACAGAACCAGCTAATTGGTTTTCTTCTCCTCCTCCTCTGTCTACTCCTTTTTTTCCTTCTTCTCCTCCTCCTCTTTCTTCTTTCTTTTTCTAGGGCAGGATTCTTCTCTGGTACCACTGCCCACATTCCTGGTGGCTGGAGGAAGCCTGGCCTTTGGAACGCTCCTCTGCATTGGCATTGTCCTGAGGTATGGTGGGTCCTGGGGGATGGCCCTGTGGTGTTCTTGTATTTCTTAAGTAGCTTTCCTTTGCCCATTCAGTCATCAGAAATTTGCAGAGCATTCACTCATTCATTTATTCATTCAACAAATAAATGCACACATAACACACACAGCACCTCCTGTTATGTCAAGCCCTGTTTCAGGTGCTGCAGAAGGCACTGTTGGGTGGGATGGATACAGTCTAATGAGGAAGCCATACACTGAGAGATAATTACCGGTGTGAGAGTGACAAAAAGAGCAGCCTGTGGTAAGGAGAACTGACCCCGCGGCATTAAGGAGGAAGAGGAGTTGGTCTGATGAAGAGGAGAAAGAAGAGGGTTCCAGGAGAAAAGCTCAGTATGTGAAATGATTGAGACTGTATGCAAGCATGTGCACGTGTATTGCATGTGTGTGCGTGTGTGCATGTGTGTGTGTAGCGGTATGGGGGAGGCCTGGGGCAGGGGAAGAGTAGAGAGGTAGCCTGGAGCCAGGTCATGGAAGGCCTTGAAGAGAGGTGGAAGGACGCTAGGCCTTCTCTTGAGGGTTCTGAGAAGAACCCGATCAGGTTTGCAGTTTTAAAAGATCCCTCTCAATGCAGTTTGGAAACTGGGTAGGAGAGGTAGGCATGGATGCTAGTGTTCCTGTGTCTGGGCATGGGGGATGATAGGTCGGCTGCTCTAGGATGCGTAGCAATGGGTTGGAGAGCCATGAATGGATTCAAGATACAGTTTAGAAGTAGAATTAACAAGATTTGATGACAGTAGATGAGGAGGATGAAGGAGAGGGAGGAATCAAGGATGACCCTCAAGTTTCTGGCTTCAGTAAGTGGGCAGATGGTGTTGTCATTCCAAAGATTGGAAACATCAGAGGAAGAACAAATCTGAGTGAAAAGCAGTGAATCTGTTTTGGGACCTACTGAGTTGGAGGTGCCTGTGAGAACCTCAAGTGGACATGTCTGGCAGACAATTCAGATGTTGTCAGCATGTAGATGGTAACTGGAGCCATGGGAGAGGATGGAGATAGAGCTGATGACAGGACCCTGGAGAAATCCAACACTGAAAAGTTGTGTAGAGGAGGAGGAGCTGGGAGAGGGGCTGAGAAGGAGTGGCCTGCAGGTTGGAGAAGAACCAGGAGACTCTGGTGTTGTAGAAACCAGAGGGAGACAGTGTGTGTTAGACACCGAAGAAACAACTGAGGCTCTGGGGTTGCAGTATGAATATGACCTTTCCTCTCTTCCAAGAGCCACATACTGAAGGGATTAAAGTGCTGTGAGAGAATTACAACAGACATGTGTGCACAGAGAAATCCGAGGTGCCTGGTAGGACCTCCTTGGGAGCATCCCAAGTTTCAATACAAGCAGACCTAAAGGGTCACCTTTAAATGCCCTGTCCTAGTGCTGTCCCCCAGCCATGATTAGAAAACACTCTTCTTTTTTTTTTTTTTTTTTAAAAGATGACCGGTAAGGGGATCTTAACCCTTGACTTGGTGTTGTCAGCACCACGCTCAGCCAGTGAGCGAACCGGCCATCCCTATGTGGGATCCGAACCCGGGGCCTTGGTGTTATTAGCACCGCACTCTACCGAGTGAGCCACGGGCCGGCCCAGAAAACACTCTTCTAAGCTGAGTTGGCACTCTGGCCACTCATCAGGCCAATCTCCCTCTCTATTTGGTCATTGGTTTTGTCGTTCGTTCCCAAGCTTGCAGAAGTCAGCCAACAGTGCCCCCAATGAATAGTCAATAATGAAAATTTTCAGTGTTCATGGATGTACTGCAGGAACTTGCAATTTTGCATAAGCTGAAGGCCTAAAAGTAGTCCGCTGGGCCCTTTGGGCAGTGATCAATCACTATGATAACACAAGTGGAGGAGAAACTGCATTCCATCCTTCCTTCCTGTTACCTCGTATGTAGCTTTCTTCTTTCTTCTTCTTTTTTTTTGGCACTTGTCCAGTGTGGGCACCCGAACATATGACCTTAGTCTTATAAGGCTGTGCTCTGACCAGCTGAGCTAACTGGCCAGCCCACTGTGTGGTTTTCAAAGAACTCTGGCTGGTGATTGTGGGAAGTGGTCTTTGAGAGGGTTTGGGAAGGAGGAGTAAGACCTTGGCAGAGAGCTTTCTACATGTTAGCTTATTGGATGCTCACAGCGGCCCTGAGCAAGCTTGACTACCAAGGGTGGTCTGGGTTGGAAGATTAGCAAGATGACAACTCAAATTGTGTTCAGAGTTATTCTCACATTGATTTTTCAGTCATGCAGTGAACAAGCCATCCAGTGCCCTGTGCTGAGCACATATTGGTAATTTATTTCTTAGCCTGATGACTTTCCATTTTCTTCCTTATAGACAAACTTATTTGGAAAGAGGTCATCCAAAGGGTATGCTGATGATGAGATTCATAGTGAATGGAAGTAGCTCCTTAGAAGAAGCAAAGACTTTTACACCTTTCATCCATGGGGGCCATGTCAACATTCTGGGGTCTACCTCGGGGGTTGCTTACCTCACCATAGGCACATACTCCTGTGTCTGTTTGCATTTCTACATTATTAAGGCTGCAACAGCCTTTTTCATAGCCCACCACAGACCCTACAGAGTAGATATGATTTCCATTTGACAGATGAGGAAACTAAAGCTGAAGGAGGTGCACTGACTACAGCTAGTAAGGGTAAGGCTAAGATTCAGACCCAAAGCCTGTGTTCTTTAGGTAGGGCCTTAGGAGTCATCTAGTCAAATTCTGTAATTTTACAAATGAGGAAACAGCCTAAAGAGGTAAAATAACTTGCCCAAAGACAAGCAAGAGCCAGGACTGGAACACATGCCCCGAGAGTCCCTGCCCGTGGTGCTAGCCTGCTGTTGGCTAAAAGGTGGGCCCAGCTGGTCCTATCATTCCACCACCGGCCTTAACAAGCAGCGCCATCTTGTTGTGCTATTAACCTCTAATAGAGAAGCATCAGTTGGGAACAGACCTAGCTCGCTAATTTGCTGAAAATGCTTGGGCACTGGCTGGTTGCTAAACAACCAGAGTCCCTGCAGGCACAGACAAGGCAAATGCCCTGTGCTGAGAACATATCAGTAATTTATTTCCTAGCCTGGTGAGTTTCCATTTTCTTCCTCATAGGCTAATTTATTTGGAAAGAGGCCAGATATTTCAAGTGATGAAAAACTTCTCTATTCCCCAAATCCCTCCTGTTAAGAAAAGGGTATAAACTTGGATACTGTGGGAATCTGGGAGTGCCAAAAAGGCTAGGGCCGGCCCGGTGGCGCACTGGATAGTGCGCCGCTTGGGAAGCGTGACGGCGCTCCCGCCCGAGGGTTCGGATCCCACATACAGACCGGTTCCCGCTCACTGGCTGAGCGAGGCGCGGGAGCAACGCCGAGGGTTGCAATCCCGTTGCCGGTCCCCCGTCCGGCACGGCGGCACCAC